TCGGTGGCCTAATTACTTCGTCTTATTCGTTTAAAAATTTTTTCACCCCGAAAAGGTCATTCTTTGTTTTTTTTCGAAGAATGAAATGGCTAAAGTCTATCTTGGTAGTGTATCAGATATTACCGGTCATATTACGGGTGATAACATTTGGCATTTTTGTTTCAAGATATTTGGAAAGGGAGAATACCTGATGTTGAACACGCCATTATTCCCCCTTCTACAAATCCGATCTTGAGGTTCTAATCTTGAAGAATTTGCTCTTTTGGTGCCTGACAGATTTACTATCGCTCATCACCTTCTTTCGCGGTGGTATGGAGATAAAACATGAAACCTTACAGTAATGAATAAACAAGTTCACTGTTTTACGCTACCGACGTTATCCTGCGCACCCTTGCTGCATGCAAATAACGTGATTTTTCGTTCTACACACCAACATCCGCTTTAATTAATGTAGTTTTTATGTATTTTAGGCTTAACCAAGTGTGATGTTTTCAATGAGCATTCACTTCGCAGCATTAAGAAAGCACAGTAGCGAACAAACCTTGTTTTCTATGACGCCTTCATCGGGATTGTACAGTTTTATACATGGAGTGAGCATAAAATGTCATTGTTTGATTTATAGTTTTAATAATTGGCTGCTCATTACCCCATTCATCGAATCAGTCAGTCCATTTATTCTCAAAAAATAAGTTCTTCAGTTACTTCCCTTACCCTGTCCTAAACCTGACACAGTCGATCAAAACGATGGTGACCTTTGACATGACAAATCAGAAATGGAACATCTCAAGCAATACCTCATGTGTGAATATTCTGACAGTGAACGATAGAAAACATAGTTAATTCATTTCAAAACTACATATCAAATGCCACAACATAACTATCAATGAATGATACACATTTTATCAGACCATTACACTAATTTTAAATATTCAAGCTCTCTCTATATAAGTATTGGCCCAAAGACCTAGGACCATCTCATCAGTGAATTGCTTGATTCTCAAACTGATTATTGTGTGGATTATGGCTACTAGATTCTTGTTGATAACTCATGTCTCCTTCATTCAGATTCATTAGATTATATCTATTTCATGATTGGGCTGGGTTCAGTTTATGGTTCATTACCGAAAAGATCACCATCAAATGTAATAATAATTTTCGTTCCCTATTTGGTCCGTGTCCTCAATGGTCTAGACTAAGTGGTCAACGAGGTGAGCATGAGAATTGTAGGGTGTATAATTTTTAATGCTTTTGATGTATTTTTTTTTGTGTCTTTTGCATTCTTGCTAGTTGGTTTTACGTGTTTAATTTCTGACTGAAATGTAAGCGAACATGCTTGAAAAGTTTTACTCATAGGATATTATAAAAAATAAATAAAATCAACAATGAAGTTTGGTGATCAGTCGGAAAATTTAATTCCGTTTACCATACTGTTGAATTCCAACATGCACACTGATTTCATACGGAACCTGACTTGTGCCAAAAGCTGAGGTATGTTTTTGGATGAATAATCTAAATTATTTTGTTTATCCTCATCTGGATCAGTCCTACTTCTTTGTTTGCATTTCCAATCCCCTATTCTACCGATCTATTTAACCTCGAATGTTTACTTTTATAGGCTTTGCTCTCTCAACCATTTCGGAATTTAAATGACATTCAAAACCGTAGAGTGATGTGTAATAAATCTGTCTGTCTGCTCGCTCTCGAGATTATGTTCTTTAGCTTGCAGATCTTTGAAAAACAATGTACGGTTTATCAACGTGCGGATCAGTTTCCTTTGGGTATGAATGAATGCATGGATATTTAACCCTCAAAAGTAGTAGTTTTACCACCGATAAAAGTAATAGGGAATTGTGTTTCTCTACTTAATTTTATCTAGAAAATATTTTAAGATATCCAAATCTTACCTTAAAAGTAGGGAACCAACATAATACTACCAAGAATTCATTGTAATGGGTCTTTTAGATGATTTTGTTGGGTTTGAACTCTGAGTATGCTTCTGTGTATCCGTTTTTCCGAAACGTATGTCTTCCGTCAGCCACCTCGTGATCCAAGATCTCCGGACTAAAATTTTTATCTGCTTGTACGATAGACAGCGTAGTATATTTCGTTTTTATCGCCATGGGACAAAACTCAAAACTGTGCGTAACATTCTATCCATGTGAGCGTTTGAAGTACCGTCATCCTGACAGAATTATTCTTCATTCAGCGAACCCTAATATCCTAAAAAGCTAACAAAATACCTCTTTTTAATGATCTTGTAACTTGTAT